AAGCAATTATCGCTAACCACAATAGAACCGCAAAAGTCTTGCGATGACAGCAACCTAACAGATAAATGACATCACCCCATAGCAACCGGACCTGGCGAATTTTTCAGCTTCCGGTTAGCTCTGGCTCCTGGCGAACTTAAATTGTGGTCATGTAAATGTTGGATGTGTTTAATAAAATGCATTCATGTTGAAAACGAGATGCTCCACGCTCAAGAGACATTGTCCACCAGAGACACTTATCACTACTACATCTATGGAAGACGTCGCTAATAAAGAAAAGCCGAACTGAATCTAAAAGACAGTTTTTGTTTTTTTTCCGCATAAGCGAAGGTGTAGACGTCCGTTGCAGCCTCTAGTCGTTGCCGACATGAAACACTCTCCGCTGACTATTCAATGTGACACTCGTTGGTAGTGCACTGGGTCTTGATTGACTCATTTTCATGGATTGAGTGTGCCAAAGTTTGTAGTTGGCAGTTTCCATCCCTGATCTTTATTCCGTCGATTTAATCCCAGTACAATTTTTACGGAGTGTTTCAGTTCGTTGATACGAAAAGTTGTCAAGAAAGGATTCACAGTTGAATTTACAAACAAGAACACTATGGACGATTCTTTGAACGCGAAAAACCATCTTCGTTCGTCACAGTCATTGCATTTCTCATAAAGAAGAGTTATAACAAAATACGGGAGAAGAGAAACTGTTAGTAGAAGTAAAATGAGGAAAGAAGTTGCGGCGATCTTTCTCTCTATTTGTGCATTTTTCATTCGTTGAATATCGCGTAGCGTTGAGTTCCTGGCCGATATCGTTTGTTTTTGCAATACAACTCGCCCTCTTTTTCTCAAAAAGAAAAATATCGCTAAGTAGGCTACAGTAGTTGTCGTAAGAGGAAAGGTGGTATGCAAATGAACATCTATTATACGGTAAACATCCATTGCAACTCCAGCAAACTGAAGTGAGGCAAAAATCGAGGAGCAGACACAAATGACTGCGTTGAATAGCACGACATTTCTTGGGCTGATTTTGCGGCGATAGAAATGAGGCCAGACAATTGCAATGAGTCTGTCAACTGACATGGCAGTCGCCAAGAGAATGGAACTGTTAATTCCAAAGTATCCCAGTATTGTAACGACGTCTCCTTCTTGTGGAATTTGACCGTCTCCTGACGTACATAGAAGTCGCATCACTGCTTCTCCAGAGCATACCACGGTACCAATGTACAGATCGACTGCAGTTATAAACATCAGGAACATCGAGAAAGATTTTCGGAAACAGCGCAAAGGATTTTTGTACAACACCACCATGATAAAGCCATTGGAAACTGAGATAAAAAGTAAAAGAAAAGCAAAGGCTATACCACTTCCTAGACACAATGATTTTTCGAAATCATGATTCATGGTTAAAATTTTCTAGTGTTTCCATAAATTGCACAAGTGTTCTTTGCCTTTTTTTCTGCTCCTGTCGACTATAGACAAACAGGAACTGTATGCTAGAGTTACCTTCAGCAGTGTGCTGATATATTACGATCGTCATCGAACACCTGCCCAAAACAAGAATTCTTACATAAGTAGAAATTTAATATACTTTTTTTTTAATATAGAAAATCGAAAAACATAGAAAAGAGTATCGCACCTATAGGCTCAGATAAATGAAAATCCAATAGCTCTGTAATTTATGATTTTGTGATAATTGGAACTTTGCAAAAAATTGGTTACAAAGTAGAAGAAGAACTTTTTATTACTACGATTTTCAGTGCAAAAAAACAGCAAACCGCGGTTTTGTTGCTTGAAACATTTTAATTTTCATTGTCTTGGTGTAGTTTTTGGTCAACAAGAGTTATCGTTATCATCTTGGCTAAAAATAAAACTAATTAACTTTGGAAATAAAAAGAAGTTTCTAGTGTTTTAGTTAATGGACTGAGAAGTAAATGGAAATGGATATTTCATGTTGTTCCTAGACAGCTGTCATTATCTTGATTGAAAATAAAGCCGGCCTGCTTAGGAAATGACATGAATTTCGTCGTGTTTAATTTAATGTTGTGAGAAGCGAGAGAGGTAGACTACTCTTTCTTTTGAGAAGTCATTAGAAATTTAAATTTCATACTGTTACAGGACATCTGTCGTTAAAGGCAATAACAATAGGGACTACAGCTGTTCTGTTTACAAAATTTATTTGACTATTAAAATTTAATTTACAAACACTAAAAGCAAACCCAAAAATATATGTAACAACCTTGAACTCAGTATTTAGCTCGATCCGGTTTTGGGATCACATGGCAGGGCCCTCCAGTGTTCGGCAAGGCAGGAAGTTTCTGACTTAAACAAGAGGAGGTTGTTAGTGTCGAGTAGAATGGTAAAACATTTAAAAATTTTTGTTGGAGTTAGAGGTATGGTGAAGTCTGTTTTATACGAGTCAAGTGGCCTATTAGGCCGGCGCTTATCCCGGTTTCTGTAGCATGAAGCGACTAGGAGTTTCTACTCCTCCATGAATGGCATGCTAGTCCATCGCAAGGTTGCCCCCCAGCATTAAATTCGCCGGTACCCATTTATACACCTGGGTGGAGAGAGGCACTGTGAGAGTAAAGTGTCTTGCTCAAGACCACAACACAATGTCCCCGGCCGGGGCTCGAACCCGGACCGCTCAATCCGGAGGCGAGCACATTAAACGCGAGGCCACCGCGCCTCCACGCTGGAGTTTAAACTTATTTGTTTTGCGCAATGTCATCGGTCGATAAAACTGGCCCCAGTTACCGAGATTCACCTAACGTTTAGACTGAAATCAAACAAAAACCAATTATGGCAAGACAATCGTGATTTTATCCGAGAGGTATCGGGTACCAAGCCACATATTAATTTTGGCGTATTAAAATTAGTTCATAAAATCAACCAATCAGCATAAGCGTCGCACCAGTATTAGCGGAAGCTATGGCGTCACGTGCAAACCACTTGGCCTTGCATATTAATGATATCATTACTAGTTGCTGCGACTGACGTGGCTGACATCATTCAGGTTCACCCTGGTTCACTAGAATCCTCTAGTGAACCAGGGTGCCGCATGAGTGATTGCCACTTTTCGTGACTTACAAGGCTTGATCATTTTCTTTCAGTGTTTCCACATCTCTCAACCAGTCAGTTACTAGCCTATCCATAACGTGAAAGAGCAAGCAATCACAAAGTAACGTTCACGGCAAGAATAAATAACATGTAATGCGTTTATGCAGAGAATTCCCAAAAGAATGAAAAAGGTCATAGTTTCGTTTGAGCTGTCAATTCATTGAACCACCCCCGCCGTGGGCCTTAGGATGTATAAGTATTGTTATTCAAGTAAAGGAGCCATTTATGCAAAGGGTCCATAAGTAACTCGACGAACCCAGTCGGCTGCAAAGACTTAATCTAGGCAGAGAGGTTGCCGGTGAAGCATTCTTCTTCTTGTGCCTTTGCTTATGTAGCCAGTGAAAACGAATAATTAAGTTCTGTTATCTCATTGTGTGTTTGGAGTTGTCACTTAAGCGACCCGTTTCTTTCGTGATAAGACAAACGCCGTGAGATGGCCTTAACACAGGAGTATTGGAGCATAGCGACGATGACCGACGGGCTGAAACGAACTCATCAGGAGCGAGAACGTCTGCGTGCAGTGACAGCGTTTTTGTTCTTTGGAATTTTAACGTACGCAGCATATTGCTTGGTCATCGCCGGTGCTCAAGATGTTATAGCCTGGACTTTTATTCAAACTTCTTTGGTCCTGATCGCGAACATTGGTCCGTATTTTGTTGTTACGTTTATGGCACCAAATAGTGTCCCCAATTAGTTTTTTTCTAAGCTTAATACTGTTGACACTTTAATAAAGTCTACTCCTACTCCCTTGGAGTAGGTGTTGCTGAAATGACATTTTTGGCCCTCACTTCGTTTTATCAGGAGGTGGTATCGACAGATGAAGAAATTATATTCAATCAAGACTAGGGGAGGGAGGGAGGCGCGGCGGCCGCACGGTTAGTGCGCTCGTCTCCGGATCGAGCGGTCCAGCTTCGAGCCCTGGCCGGGCTCATTGTGTTGTGTTCTTGGGTAAGACACTTAACCGTCACAGTGCCTCTCTACCCAGGCGTATAAATGGGTACCGGCGAACTTAATACAGGGGGGTAACCCTACAAAAGTCCATCTTTCCGCTACCTACCGTGAAAAGGTTTGAATTTGTATCGTTTCTACAAAATTTCGCAATTTTCCCTTGGCCTTAGGTAAAGTCTTCATATGAGCGAAGTGGCCAATTAGGTCGGAGCTTACCCCTGTTCCTGTAGCATGAAGCGACTAGGGAGTATTTCTATTACCCCCTGTATGGAATGCTACTCCATCGCAGGGACTCCTAAAATGATCATTTCTTAGCATGATTTCGTAATCTGCATACCAACGAATCTACATACTGACACACAACTATCTTACACGAACAACGTAAAAATTCTATATATTTGCACAGACATCAACAATGACAATAACTGAACAGCTATTAGAAATTAATTTCGCTTACCGTTTGATTTTTTCCCCTTTCTTAGATCGGCCAGTTTTGATCACTCACCTATTAGGCTGAAGTATCGCCCACGTTGTGGACCAAAACTCAGCTCAATGTTGGGAGTTACTTGAATGATCTGCAATTAAGGCTGTGTTCACACTTGGTGCCGGAGCACTAGTGCCTGGCACTTGCACAAAATAACGGTGCGTTCAGACACTGGGTACTCACAAGTACCCAAGTACCATTTAAGTGCCCGAGTACAAGGTTGAGACCTTGTACCCAAGCTCTGGCACTGTGCCTGAATTCTGGTGTGAGTATGATTAAAGATTAAAGATTAAAGAAAAAAGGTTTGTTCACATTAGTACACAGCAAGAATGGGTTCTCTGGCACCGTGCTCGGCCATCAAGTGTGAACGTAGCCTAAGACACACTCTGACACATATGCTGCCGGAGCTTCTCCCGGTTTAAACGTTTCTGTAGAAGTGAATCTAGAAGGGTAGTGAGTAGTGCTGCTCCCTCCATAACTACTGGTCGGTTCTCATTGAAACTCGTGGCTGAGTGAGTGTTACTGTGGGCAATGACCCGCCTGGGTAGTGTTCGAACCCGCGAGTCACTAGATCTAGAGTCATTTTGTGACTGGCTTACCCAAGTAAATCTGTAACAGGAAGATAGCAGAAAAAACAACAATAAAACCAGTCTCTATTACAATAATGGCAAAGATCTAAGCAATCTTCATTATTCCTGCCAATACCGGTATAAAGGATCTATTTACGTAGCTTTGAACATTTATTTAAGTACTGAGTGAAGTTTGCTTCTTCCTTAGAAAAATGTGTAATTTCCTCTCTCTTTAACCAAGACATGCTCTTTACTCTGAATAATTCGATGCGCTTCTGATTAAGGGAAAACTAGCCTGCGTGATAAGCAGTGGACACCGCCGGGACTGATTAAAAGAGCGACACGTCCCACAGCATCGCAAGTCGGGGAAAACATAATGCTCAGTGATTTGGAAAGTTTGAATAGAACTTATGCAAATTTGTTGGTTCATGACAGTGAATTGATTGAAAAATTTGATTGCTTCACTAGTCAGATGGAACGATTCAATTATGGCAAAGAGAGCTGTGAGCTCTGTATGCTTACTTTTCTAGGACGTTAGCAGTTACAAAAGCGCCACGACTGTGTCGCGTAATTAATTGGAACATGTCGGAATCCAGCAAAAGCCAAACAACAGCTCTGTCAGTAGCTAACGACTGTGATGGGATTAAACTCAACAACGGACAGGAACGCGAGCGACTGCGCACAATCACAGCGTTTTTCATTTTTGGAACTTTGATTTACGCAACATATTCCTTAGTCATCGTTGGTGCTCAAGATATTCTAGCGGGAACGTCAATTCCAACTTCTATATCTCTCATCGCATTGGTTACACCGGGTTTTCTTGTTACTTTAATCGCGCCTTATTTCATGCATAACATTCCGTATATTGCTCGCATAATGACGTTTTGTTGTACGGGAATCGGTGGTTTTCTCATGCTAGTGTTTGCCAAGCAAGTTCATTGGAAATTAATCGGAGTTGGGATTGTGTCGTTTGGAAGCAATTTTTGTGAAATCACTGTTTTGGCTCTCTCGTCGTTTTATCACGAAGCAGCGTCGACAGCCTTTTCTGCCGGAACGGGTGCAGGATTTGTGATAGCTCCCCTATATTACACAGGTGAGTGTTTATNTAGTAGAAGTAAAATGAGGAAAGAAGTTGCGGCGATCTTTCTCTCTATTTGTGCATTTTTCATTCGTTGAATATCGCGTAGCGTTGAGTTCCTGGCCGATATCGTTTGTTTTTGCAATACAACTCGCCCTCTTTTTCTCAAAAAGAAAAATATCGCTAAGTAGGCTACAGTAGTTGTCGTAAGAGGAAAGGTGGTATGCAAATGAACATCTATTATACGGTAAACATCCATTGCAACTCCAGCAAACTGAAGTGAGGCAAAAATCGAGGAGCAGACACAAATGACTGCGTTGAATAGCACGACATTTCTTGGGCTGATTTTGCGGCGATAGAAATGAGGCCAGACAATTGCAATGAGTCTGTCAACTGACATGGCAGTCGCCAAGAGAATGGAACTGTTAATTCCAAAGTATCCCAGTATTGTAACGACGTCTCCTTCTTGTGGAATTTGACCGTCTCCTGACGTACATAGAAGTCGCATCACTGCTTCTCCAGAGCATACCACGGTACCAATGTACAGATCGACTGCAGTTATAAACATCAGGAACATCGAGAAAGATTTTCGGAAACAGCGCAAAGGATTTTTGTACAACACCACCATGATAAAGCCATTGGAAACTGAGATAAAAAGTAAAAGAAAAGCAAAGGCTATACCACTTCCTAGACACAATGATTTTTCGAAATCATGATTCATGGTTAAAATTTTCTAGTGTTTCCATAAATTGCACAAGTGTTCTTTGCCTTTTTTTCTGCTCCTGTCGACTATAGACAAACAGGAACTGTATGCTAGAGTTACCTTCAGCAGTGTGCTGATATATTACGATCGTCATCGAACACCTGCCCAAAACAAGAATTCTTACATAAGTAGAAATTTAATATACTTTTTTTTTAATATAGAAAATCGAAAAACATAGAAAAGAGTATCGCACCTATAGGCTCAGATAAATGAAAATCCAATAGCTCTGTAATTTATGATTTTGTGATAATTGGAACTTTGCAAAAAATTGGTTACAAAGTAGAAGAAGAACTTTTTATTACTACGATTTTCAGTGCAAAAAAACAGCAAACCGCGGTTTTGTTGCTTGAAACATTTTAATTTTCATTGTCTTGGTGTAGTTTTTGGTCAACAAGAGTTATCGTTATCATCTTGGCTAAAAATAAAACTAATTAACTTTGGAAATAAAAAGAAGTTTCTAGTGTTTTAGTTAATGGACTGAGAAGTAAATGGAAATGGATATTTCATGTTGTTCCTAGACAGCTGTCATTATCTTGATTGAAAATAAAGCCGGCCTGCTTAGGAAATGACATGAATTTCGTCGTGTTTAATTTAATGTTGTGAGAAGCGAGAGAGGTAGACTACTCTTTCTTTTGAGAAGTCATTAGAAATTTAAATTTCATACTGTTACAGGACATCTGTCGTTAAAGGCAATAACAATAGGGACTACAGCTGTTCTGTTTACAAAATTTATTTGACTATTAAAATTTAATTTACAAACACTAAAAGCAAACCCAAAAATATATGTAACAACCTTGAACTCAGTATTTAGCTCGATCCGGTTTTGGGATCACATGGCAGGGCCCTCCAGTGTTCGGCAAGGCAGGAAGTTTCTGACTTAAACAAGAGGAGGTTGTTAGTGTCGAGTAGAATGGTAAAACATTTAAAAATTTTTGTTGGAGTTAGAGGTATGGTGAAGTCTGTTTTATACGAGTCAAGTGGCCTATTAGGCCGGCGCTTATCCCGGTTTCTGTAGCATGAAGCGACTAGGAGTTTCTACTCCTCCATGAATGGCATGCTAGTCCATCGCAAGGTTGCCCCCCAGCATTAAATTCGCCGGTACCCATTTATACACCTGGGTGGAGAGAGGCACTGTGAGAGTAAAGTGTCTTGCTCAAGACCACAACACAATGTCCCCGGCCGGGGCTCGAACCCGGACCGCTCAATCCGGAGGCGAGCACATTAAACGCGAGGCCACCGCGCCTCCACGCTGGAGTTTAAACTTATTTGTTTTGCGCAATGTCATCGGTCGATAAAACTGGCCCCAGTTACCGAGATTCACCTAACGTTTAGACTGAAATCAAACAAAAACCAATTATGGCAAGACAATCGTGATTTTATCCGAGAGGTATCGGGTACCAAGCCACATATTAATTTTGGCGTATTAAAATTAGTTCATAAAATCAACCAATCAGCATAAGCGTCGCACCAGTATTAGCGGAAGCTATGGCGTCACGTGCAAACCACTTGGCCTTGCATATTAATGATATCATTACTAGTTGCTGCGACTGACGTGGCTGACATCATTCAGGTTCACCCTGGTTCACTAGAATCCTCTAGTGAACCAGGGTGCCGCATGAGTGATTGCCACTTTTCGTGACTTACAAGGCTTGATCATTTTCTTTCAGTGTTTCCACATCTCTCAACCAGTCAGTTACTAGCCTATCCATAACGTGAAAGAGCAAGCAATCACAAAGTAACGTTCACGGCAAGAATAAATAACATGTAATGCGTTTATGCAGAGAATTCCCAAAAGAATGAAAAAGGTCATAGTTTCGTTTGAGCTGTCAATTCATTGAACCACCCCCGCCGTGGGCCTTAGGATGTATAAGTATTGTTATTCAAGTAAAGGAGCCATTTATGCAAAGGGTCCATAAGTAACTCGACGAACCCAGTCGGCTGCAAAGACTTAATCTAGGCAGAGAGGTTGCCGGTGAAGCATTCTTCTTCTTGTGCCTTTGCTTATGTAGCCAGTGAAAACGAATAATTAAGTTCTGTTATCTCATTGTGTGTTTGGAGTTGTCACTTAAGCGACCCGTTTCTTTCGTGATAAGACAAACGCCGTGAGATGGCCTTAACACAGGAGTATTGGAGCATAGCGACGATGACCGACGGGCTGAAACGAACTCATCAGGAGCGAGAACGTCTGCGTGCAGTGACAGCGTTTTTGTTCTTTGGAATTTTAACGTACGCAGCATATTGCTTGGTCATCGCCGGTGCTCAAGATGTTATAGCCTGGACTTTTATTCAAACTTCTTTGGTCCTGATCGCGAACATTGGTCCGTATTTTGTTGTTACGTTTATGGCACCAAATAGTGTCCCCAATTAGTTTTTTTCTAAGCTTAATACTGTTGACACTTTAATAAAGTCTACTCCTACTCCCTTGGAGTAGGTGTTGCTGAAATGACATTTTTGGCCCTCACTTCGTTTTATCAGGAGGTGGTATCGACAGATGAAGAAATTATATTCAATCAAGACTAGGGGAGGGAGGGAGGCGCGGCGGCCGCACGGTTAGTGCGCTCGTCTCCGGATCGAGCGGTCCAGCTTCGAGCCCTGGCCGGGCTCATTGTGTTGTGTTCTTGGGTAAGACACTTAACCGTCACAGTGCCTCTCTACCCAGGCGTATAAATGGGTACCGGCGAACTTAATACAGGGGGGTAACCCTACAAAAGTCCATCTTTCCGCTACCTACCGTGAAAAGGTTTGAATTTGTATCGTTTCTACAAAATTTCGCAATTTTCCCTTGGCCTTAGGTAAAGTCTTCATATGAGCGAAGTGGCCAATTAGGTCGGAGCTTACCCCTGTTCCTGTAGCATGAAGCGACTAGGGAGTATTTCTATTACCCCCTGTATGGAATGCTACTCCATCGCAGGGACTCCTAAAATGATCATTTCTTAGCATGATTTCGTAATCTGCATACCAACGAATCTACATACTGACACACAACTATCTTACACGAACAACGTAAAAATTCTATATATTTGCACAGACATCAACAATGACAATAACTGAACAGCTATTAGAAATTAATTTCGCTTACCGTTTGATTTTTTCCCCTTTCTTAGATCGGCCAGTTTTGATCACTCACCTATTAGGCTGAAGTATCGCCCACGTTGTGGACCAAAACTCAGCTCAATGTTGGGAGTTACTTGAATGATCTGCAATTAAGGCTGTGTTCACACTTGGTGCCGGAGCACTAGTGCCTGGCACTTGCACAAAATAACGGTGCGTTCAGACACTGGGTACTCACAAGTACCCAAGTACCATTTAAGTGCCCGAGTACAAGGTTGAGACCTTGTACCCAAGCTCTGGCACTGTGCCTGAATTCTGGTGTGAGTATGATTAAAGATTAAAGATTAAAGAAAAAAGGTTTGTTCACATTAGTACACAGCAAGAATGGGTTCTCTGGCACCGTGCTCGGCCATCAAGTGTGAACGTAGCCTAAGACACACTCTGACACATATGCTGCCGGAGCTTCTCCCGGTTTAAACGTTTCTGTAGAAGTGAATCTAGAAGGGTAGTGAGTAGTGCTGCTCCCTCCATAACTACTGGTCGGTTCTCATTGAAACTCGTGGCTGAGTGAGTGTTACTGTGGGCAATGACCCGCCTGGGTAGTGTTCGAACCCGCGAGTCACTAGATCTAGAGTCATTTTGTGACTGGCTTACCCAAGTAAATCTGTAACAGGAAGATAGCAGAAAAAACAACAATAAAACCAGTCTCTATTACAATAATGGCAAAGATCTAAGCAATCTTCATTATTCCTGCCAATACCGGTATAAAGGATCTATTTACGTAGCTTTGAACATTTATTTAAGTACTGAGTGAAGTTTGCTTCTTCCTTAGAAAAATGTGTAATTTCCTCTCTCTTTAACCAAGACATGCTCTTTACTCTGAATAATTCGATGCGCTTCTGATTAAGGGAAAACTAGCCTGCGTGATAAGCAGTGGACACCGCCGGGACTGATTAAAAGAGCGACACGTCCCACAGCATCGCAAGTCGGGGAAAACATAATGCTCAGTGATTTGGAAAGTTTGAATAGAACTTATGCAAATTTGTTGGTTCATGACAGTGAATTGATTGAAAAATTTGATTGCTTCACTAGTCAGATGGAACGATTCAATTATGGCAAAGAGAGCTGTGAGCTCTGTATGCTTACTTTTCTAGGACGTTAGCAGTTACAAAAGCGCCACGACTGTGTCGCGTAATTAATTGGAACATGTCGGAATCCAGCAAAAGCCAAACAACAGCTCTGTCAGTAGCTAACGACTGTGATGGGATTAAACTCAACAACGGACAGGAACGCGAGCGACTGCGCACAATCACAGCGTTTTTCATTTTTGGAACTTTGATTTACGCAACATATTCCTTAGTCATCGTTGGTGCTCAAGATATTCTAGCGGGAACGTCAATTCCAACTTCTATATCTCTCATCGCATTGGTTACACCGGGTTTTCTTGTTACTTTAATCGCGCCTTATTTCATGCATAACATTCCGTATATTGCTCGCATAATGACGTTTTGTTGTACGGGAATCGGTGGTTTTCTCATGCTAGTGTTTGCCAAGCAAGTTCATTGGAAATTAATCGGAGTTGGGATTGTGTCGTTTGGAAGCAATTTTAGTGAAATCACTATTTTGGCTCTCTCGTCGTTTTATCACGAAGCAACGTCGACAGCCTTTTCTGCCGGAACGGGGGTAGGATATTTGATAGCTCCCTTATATTATACAGGTGAGTGTTTGTACTTAGCTGTTATTAACCGAGCAGGAGGTCTGTATGGGAGAATCTTGACCCGAGGTGGTGAGTACAGACCGAACGCAGTAAGGTCTGTACACACTTCCGAAGTCAAGATTCTCCCATACATACCGACTAAGCTGGCTTAATAAGACGTTTATAGCAGCATGATAGCGTCATTTGACTACAACTACCAGAATTCTTTTCGTTTTTTCTTTATTTTATAAATTTTGAATTTCCAATGGGGTTTAAATGACAATTGCCCTAATTAACATAAGAAACAGAGAAAGTGAAGGATTCTGTTAGTTGTAGTCAAATGACGCCATCACGCAAATCGCCTATTATATGGCAAACACAAAAAATCTAATTCGTTTTATGTAACTGTGGCTCACACTAGCTAACTGATTTTGCTTGCGAACGGCGATGAGCTGAACTAAAATCTGCCAAAGTTTGCTCCTTCTTTACTTTTTTTTTTTCTCGTCAGGCTTTTTGGCACTTCCACTAATATTTTTAGAAGAAAATTGTCAATATTCTTGTATTTTAAATTGCAACTTTTTCACCACAAAACGTTACTGGTCTAGATGCTGGTCTAGATGGGAAAATCTAATATCGATTTCAGCCAATCAAATTCGTGAATTTGGTAGTTCCCAGTCCTTGTAAGACAGAGCCATATAATAAGTTGAAACAAGCGCCAGTAATTCTTCCCATTTTTGTCATTGGAACATGACATAATCAGGATTTAAGAAGAATTTTTAGAAGGGGCTACGAATTCTCCAATTGATCACTTTTTACCAGAATGCGTTGCATTAATTAACCAGAGTGCACTGCGCCACATTTTCACACATCGCGGTGGACGCGTCCTCGACACACTCTGTCAACATTCTAGAGACATTTAATGCGTACCAGTATAGAATTTATAAGTTAGATTTCTGCTCCCACAATTTCCACACCTTTCGATTTTCGGGATCCGGTAAAGGGGAGGTCGATGTGTATCGTTTCATGTCCAGTTCAGATCACTATGAGCTTTTTTGTCGCGATCCCTTGTCACACCTCGCCATCGACGCGTCATCATGCATGAAGTTAATGCATACAAGGACAGATTTGAAGTTACACACTACTTTAAGAAATAAAGGTTAATGTAAGTCTTGGAACGCGCAGGTAGATGAATCACTGCGTAAAATATGTCACTATCAACAAAATGTGCCGCAACATTACTATCTTTTGGATACCCTAGTCATACGGCTTGATTGCGTGCTGTTGAATGTGTCATTACTCCAGCAGTCCCACAATTTGCCCCAAGCAAAATCTGCGTCACTTGATTGGCTATTTCTAGGTCCTTCTGGGATTTCGGAATAAAAATAGTTTGGGACTGATTTACCTGGGGAATAAAAGCTTTATTATTCATGTCTTGTAGCCATGACAACTTGGGCCTGTGTTTCACCAAGTGTAACAATTTTAATCATGGCGACCATGTTGCTTCTGGGCTTTGTCTGCTACTACGTCATGGACAAGAAGCATTTAGAGTCTCCCAGTCCTGCAACGGATGAACATGCCGGAGTAGAGTACAGTGTCCTTAATACTCAAGGTAATATATTGTTCACGTAAATAGATCGGCACGTCTACCGGGTCTTGCAAAAGCTGGTTTTCAGTCAAGCATGAGCCAAGAAGAGACGTCTGTTACTTGGCGACCGCAAGCACAGGTTAGATTTCCCGAGTAGAAAATATTTGCAAAGCACGGCTTAAAACTTAAATCCTTATGGTCCTTATGAACTACACCGTACAGTCTGTTCCTAGATCCTTTTTTTCCGAAAAATAACTGAAGCTACAGGAAGTTATGAGGATAAGTATAATGATGACATTATTAGTGCGCTATCGTGATTCCACTCGGCTTAACCCATGAAGTTTCCGGCTGTCCTTAATAGTTGGTCACACAAGAACTAAAACTGAACAAATTCAAGTCAGACTTTGCACTTCAAAAAGTTACCGGCGTGGGAAGCCTCCCACCATTTGGCATTCAACAATAGTATGTCCTAACTAGGAACATACACAAAAATGTCTTAGATTAGGACGGTGAGATATGACAAACTCGATTCAAGCCTGTCAGGAGAGGGGGGGAGGGGTGGGGGTGGCTCATCGCTGCGGGAAGAAGAAGAGCGAGTAAGTAGTCAAAGCTATCGTAAACCAAAAAGACTGAATGAAATTTGGGGAAAAGTAAGTTATCTTCCATAAGGAGTCCAGCCTAAGGAGGCAAGTTAGAGTACCAAATATTGCAGAGTTCTGAAGATCGTTTTTTATGCAGAGTCCCAAGCAAGATTAAGAGAATTTTTGAGGGAATTGGAAAAGTAAAATTTCCTATTGACTGGCATAACAAAAAACTTGTTTTACTTTAACAGATGATGGATGTCAGAACTCCAAAAGAGACGACAACAACAGCGTGGAATCAACAGAGGAGAACAGCAATGATGTTGGCTCTCTCTCTTGTCAAAAGATATTTATGATCATTCGTCAGATGCTGCCTGGTCTGATATCGATTTATACTGCATTTTTCTCGGAATATATGATCATTCAATCCGTCGTTACAACACTAGCTTTTCCCCACGCTCCCTTCAAACCACGTGACCACTATCAGTATTACATCTTTGTTCTCATGGGGGGTGAGGTGGTGGGAAGGTCATATCTTGTGGCATTGTCCTATGTCAAACCAGAATGGGCAGAAGAAGCTAAATTCCCATATCTTTGGGTTCCCTCGACAATAGAAGCCACGCTTCTTCTGTTCTTCGTCCTGGCGGCCTGGTACCGATTTTTACTGAGTGTGTGGATCGTTTTGCTGCTGGTATTTGCCAGTGGTGCAGTGGTTGGTGTTACCTATGTTAATGCAGTAACGTACTTTAGGGATAGCTTCAAGGACCGTGATAAGGAGTTCGCCATGGGGTTCTTCCTTGTGGCCATAACTGGGGGCGTTTTTGCTTCTGCTTTGTTAGGCCTTTACGTTGAGCCTATCTTACGCGAGCACTGCACAATGTTTACAAACAACAGCGACTTTTGCTTTACAAGATCAAAGTCCTTAGATCGTTTTACTTCAACATGTACTAAAATAACCTGATTAACTGATTAAAAAGCCGTTGTCACGTACATACAATTGTTTGTCATTTGCTATTATTTTTCTACTGAACTAGACTCGTCAGGACTGAGTATCACCTCAACTCGAGACAAGTAGAAATCATTGTGGTCTTGTGTTATCCCTCCCGGGTGAGGTTGGTCCTTCAAAGGAACTTGTTTGGTTGCGATCGATTTTGACAAACTAAGCGGAAATCATCTTTAGAATGAAAATCTTTTTCTCCGCGTTGTGACAATTATCATAATTTGCGTTACTTAATGATTGAGTCAATAAATTAATCATATTCCCTCATTTATGAACTCTCACTAACAGGCCATTTTCCAAGTTCTGTTTCAAAACGAGTCATGACTCACTCGATCATTTTGAGACAGAGGAAGAAGACGATTTGGAAAGTACTTATTGCACGGCTGGCGCTACTTGAAAATTTTGGCCACGTCCACACCACGCCGGAGGAATTAAAAAACTCAACAATCACCGGCCATTTTGGATTTGTGTTTGAGGAAACCTCGATCAGGGGAATATTATGATTATCGTGACGTCATTGTTTTCGAAAAGCTCCGCTTTCAAAATGTTTTCTGTCCACGCGAAAGCGAAATGCCCGCGTTTCAAGTTTCCTCTCTCCGTTTTGAAAAAGCTCCGTTTTTGTGACGGATTAGCATGGATGGTAGACCTTACCGTAGAAATAATGTTGCGTTTTCAAATTTTATCAGCGTAATGCATTGCGCGTGGCGCGATCTTTTTATTCTGGTTTTCACGTCACACGAAATTACCGAAGTTGAGGACACGGGGATGATGCCAGCAAGGCCTTCGAGGTTTCCTCTTTGTTGGAAACCTTACGGATGAAATGAACTGATTTATCCCGGATAAACGTTTCTGTAGAAGTGAATCTAGAGGAGTAGTGAGTAGTGCTGCTCCCTCCTCCCCCTCCCCACCTCTGGATGAGATGCTGTGTGTAGCTCAGCATTTTTCGTGTTTCCATAACAGCTGGTCGGTGCTCATTGAAACTCGTGGGTGAACAGTGGCACTGTGGGTAAAAGGTGTCTTCCCATACCACACGAGGTAATGACCCGACTGGCTGACCCCGCGGGTCACTAGATCTAGAGTCATTTGGTGACCGGTTTGGGCTAGCAGAAGAAACAACAATAAAACCAAAGTCTTCAGTACAATCTAAGCAATCTTCATTATTTCTGCCAACACAGGTATAAAGCATCTATTTACGCAGCTTTGGACATTTACTTAAGTACTGAGTGAAGTTTGCTTCTTCCTTAGAAAAATGTGTAATTTTCTCTCTCTTTAACCAAGACATGTTCTTTATTCTGAATAATTCAATGCGCTTTCGATTAAGGGAGAACTAGCCTGCGTGATAAGCAGTGGAAACCGCCGGGATACAGACCATTTAATTAAAAGAGCGACACGTCCCACTGCATCGCAAGTCAGGGAAAACATAATAGTCAGTGATTATACAAATGTGTTGGTTCATGTGCAGTGATTGAAGAATTTGAATACTTCACTAGTCAGATGGAACGATTCAATTATGGCAAAGACTGGCGTCCTTCAGAGCTGTGTACTCTGTACGCTTACTTCTCTAGGACGTTGGCAGTTACAAAAGCGCCACTACTTTTTCGCGTAAAATTGGAACATGTCGGAATCCAGCAGAAGCCAAACAGCAGCTCTGTCAGTAGCTAACGACTGTGATGGGATTAAACTCAGCAACGGACAGGAACGCGAGCGACTGCGCACAATCACAGCGTTTTTCATTTTTGGAACTTTGATTTACGCAACATATTCCTTGGTCATTGCTGGTGCTCAAGATATTCTAGCGGGAACGTCAATTCCAACTTCTATATCTCTCATCGCATTGATTGCACCGGGTTTTCTTGTTACTTTAATCGCGCCTTATTTCATGCATAACATTCCGTATATTGCTTGCATAATGACGTTTTGTTGTACGGGAATCGGTGGTTTTCTCATGCTAGTGTTTGCCAAGCAAGTTCATTGGAAATTAATCGGAGTTGGGATTGTGTCGTTTGGAAGCAATTTTTGTGAAATCACTGTTTTGGCTCTCTCGTCGTTTTATCACGAAGCAGCGTCGACAGCCTTTTCTGCCGGAACGGGTGCAGGATTTGTGATAGCTCCCCTATATTACACAGGTGAGTGTTTAT